TAGGGGATCAAATACTTATTTCACTCAATCAAATACAAATCAGTTTATACATTTTATGTGATGTGATTTTCTGGATTTTCTTTTTTAATTCTGTCTCTCACTGTTGCAATAAACCTACCATTACAATTATGGACCGCTCATCTCTTTGTCAGTGGGCAAACTTACAAAATCGGCAAGGGATCAAAAAATGATTTCCTTCACTGTAACTCATGACCACCCACCACACTGCACCTCCCAGCCACGCCAGGTGCTGTCAACATGCAGCTATGATGCTGAGAAGTGTGGAGCTTTGGGCCTGAAGCAGAACTGAAGTGAATCCTTGTGGATTTCTCCACAGCACAGTGCTCCTGCTCCGAGCCACCTCTCCATCTATGAGTCAGAGCTGAGCTCCACTATCTTCACATCTCTATTTACGCTCAAAGCACAGGCCTGAAAGCTCAATATCAAAGGTCACTTATCACTTTGTGTAACGCACTGCTTTCATTTCATTGCCTAAGCTCTGATGTTTCTTTCCAAATTAGAGTGTTACTGATGTGGCTTTTGAGGGCTATCATGATAGATTTGTAATAGAGCTGCCATGATTCTACAAGGTGTCTGTCTTTTGCACCTTAAGGCGAGAAAATTATTTCAGTCGACATTTATATTTCATGTGTACATTCATGGTCACCTTGAGATTCTACACCGAAACCCCTTCAGCGAAACAATTCAAACTCTTTTTTAAAGGTTAGCAGCTCTGTACGTTCTTATTTTTTCGGACATTCTCCATTACACCTGGCATCTATTGCACTTCTGTCCGTCCTGGGAGAGGGATCCCTCACATGTGGCTCACAAGGTTTCTACCTTCTTTTCCTCCTGTTTTCCCTACTCTTGTTGAGGGTTAAGGGCAGAGGATGACACCTTGTTAAAGCCCTATGAGACAAATTGTGATTTGTGAATATGGGCTATACAAATACAATTTGATTGATGATTGATGATAAAGGGGATATTTTATGGCAGATTTTACCATCTTTTTATTCTTGTTGTTAGTGTGGCACCAACAACTCTGTCTGGATTGTCTGTCTGTCTCTGATACATCAGAAATCCCTGGAGAACATTTCTGGAAATTTGGCAAAAAAAAAAAACTTAGATTCGAGGATTATCTGATCACAAAACACATTTTGCCCATAACTTAGAACTGACACACTAATCATGACACATTATTAAATAAATGTCTAGAAGGGGGAAAATGTTTGCATTTTTGTCAAATGTCAACCTCACTGTGACGTCACATGTTCTGCTCTTTGAAAACATGGATCGAAGAGGGTTTTTTTTGTATTTTGTATATGTTCATCCATCACTTTCATTTGGTTTTCTGACTGAAATATTTACTATATTTCACAGTATTTTGTGAACAGTATTCAGCCTTTTTGAGTTAGAAAAGTTTGGAAAAAGAGTGGCATAGAACCTGATGCAGAACAATATAAACTGATATTTAGAGTGTTTCTGATTTGCGGTTCAAATGTTTATCTGCGAACAATTTGCTCATAACTGTAAATCCCACACCAGTTATGACACAATGTAACACATAACAGAAGCAGACTGTGACCATGATTATAACAATGATTATAAACCTGAGGAGGGGTAATATTGTGAGTCATAACTCTTATGAACATTCTTAGAGATAAGACATTTTTAAGCAGTTTGTTTACCTGAAAAAACAAAATTAGTGCTGGAAGACAGGTATGGTAGTATGTGTAAAAGCATATCTGCTATCTGATCAGGGCTTAAGAATTCTCCTTCAATCAATATAACTATTTTCTTAAACCCAATTCTAAAAGCTTCTACCAAACTTAAGTTGAGGGTGTAGATTCTGTATGTGTCAGTCTTCTATCTTACAAAACCTGTGTTCATGCAGATGAGCTGTCAGTCAGGCTGTTGATCCCTGAGGCCTGTATGAGCATTTCAGTCAAATTGAAACCTGGAAACAGTAAGTATTGTGAGGTTGCAGCTGTTTGTTAGATGTGGTGAAGTGAACCTGTTGTCAGTCAGGGCGTTAGCAGAATAATGTAACTGGAGGTCTGCTGGTTCTCCTCTTACAGTGATGAGCTGGGCCCTCCTCACATATATTTAGTCATCTTGATAACCTAATCAGAGATCACACCCCAACATGCGTGGGATGCCACCTCAATCACCGGATGTGTTTGGGCTTCAGCAGAGAGGGAAGAGGCCGCCCAGTGCAGACCTTTGTCACCACTGAGCTGGCTGAGCAGTTTCCTGGGCAAGCTCTGTATCATAAAACACAGCAGGCCACACCATCCACTGACTCCTTTGATAAATACCCTTCACCACGCTTCTGTACTGTCTGTTGAGATAAACTGGTAATGATAATTTAAATATGTTCAGTTTCATTGTTTGGTTACAGTCTGACTGGGACTGGGAATCTGGTAGATCACACAGGAACAAGAAAGAAGGAAATGTCTAATGATTCAAATATTTGAGTTATGTTTATCGTTATTATTTCTTTTTTCTTTTTTTTTGCCTTTTTACTTTTTTTTTTTTTTTTCATCCCAGCCCAGTAAAATTCTAATGAGGAATCAGTGGAGACAAACCAGAACTAAATGAAGAGTGAAAGTATCACAGGTGTTGCAAAAAATCAAAACAAAGAAACACCATGTATGATAGCATATAGCCTAAATATTTATTTTAGTCCACTGATTACAGGTGGACATAAAAGTAGCTTTTAAGTGGAAAGCTTTTGGTCTAATAAAAAAGAGTTTGCCTAATAATTATTGTTCAGATATTAGAGTTCATATCTGATGAGTTATTTTTTTCCATTTCAGTGATTTTATGTCTTTTAGGGGCATTTCCATTGCAACACGATACAAATCTAATCCAAACAGTTGATGTTGGACACCAACTCATGGATGACAAACCTAAAACATCAGTTTGAAGAAAATAACAAGAGGGTCAAGGGCATTAAAAGGTGTAATGAATTGTCACCAAATCTAATCTTCATTTGTCCCAGTAGCTTCTGCCCAAACATATCTGTGCTGATAGTGTCTCATCAAACCTCGTATCAGTCCGACTGTGGTGTTTATTTACACCCTGACCTGGGAGTGATTCAATCGGCCTATACTTTCCATCTGTTGGGCTGTATTAATAGGCTGAGGGGGTGAAGCACACACACTTTCCGGGTGGGAATGTTGGAGGGTGTAACGCACACTAAATGTTCCTTGTGGAGCAGTGGAATCTGTGATAGATGAAGGTAAACACAGTAAAATGGTGCTCAGACTTACTGTGAACATTTTCAAAATAACATCTAAATTCAATTGTTGCAACACTGAGGGAAAAAATAGTGAGTATTCACTGTTTGATGTATTAGAGGGATAGTTCACTGAAATTTTTGTTGTTGTTTTATTACGTTTGACGAAGAGGTCGCCTGAAACTCCAGAAGTGTTTTGAGGACTCAAACACTTCACCCACCCCTCCATCGGCATAGTGGTGAGTAGATAATGAGTGAAGTTTCATTTTCTGGTGAACTATCCCTTTAGGTAATGAGGCCCTTGTTATGGCTCTGAGTCATATTCTGTGTGTGTGTGTGTGTTTATGTGTTGTGTTGTTCTCCCTCCCTGTCTGGGGGTGGTGTTGTTTCCTGAGTCTGTGTTTCAGGTAATGCAGGGGATTGGAGGATGGCCTAATAGAGCTCATTTTAGAAAAGCTCACCTGATGTTGCCAGTGACCTCTGTTTGTTTTCCTGGCTCCCAATGCAACCGTGCCTTTGTTGTAAATCCCGCAATAGATATATATTGTTAAAGAGTTTTCTGTTTATTACCACGTTGATAGATGTTTGAAGCAGTCCTGATTCGTAGTAGGGAAGAGAATCCTTTTGTTTTTCGTACCCTTTTCACCTGTTTTGGGTTAGGTAGGCAGGTAAGATCCCTGTATTTTATTTTTGTCTCTTTTTGAAGTAGGGAAGTTCGTTCGCTATTATAGGTTGTTTTGTTTGTTATTTTGTCTGTGCTCTTCCTGACGTTTTGGAACAAAGGATGTGTAAAAGAAAGAAATCATTTTTTGGACTGCAAAAATCTGCATGGCACTGGCTACACTTGGGAGTAGGGGAAGACGGAGCCTTTTATGTTATGCTCTGGTAGCTCCTAGGCCGGGCGTAATATAAATTGGGGGCTCGTCTGGGATTTGCACCCGGGACCTCTCGCACCCCAAGCGAGAATCATACTCCTAGGCCGGGCGTAACACCCTGTTCTGCTAACACTCCAACCACTAGATGGAGATGTTGCCTTATTGTTCAGAATAGAGATGATGAGAACAGAACACCAGCGAGTCGCACTGATGAGGAAAAGAATGTCATCTGTACTTTTACTGAGCCAGTGGCAACAGTTTGATCATCATTTATTGATTGGTTTATGGATATAAATGTGACGTTACAGCTGAAACAGTACATGTTGTGTGAAGCCAGTCTGGAGTTACAACAGCAGACTGAGTTTATTGTCGCACACGACACAGGAATAAGATCGCATGATTTTCACCCTGAGATAATTACAACACAGTAACATAGAAATATCTGATATGTTCAGTAATACAGTAAGGAATATGACAGGTAACACTACAATGATCATCAGTAACACTACGTTGATACTGTCAGTGCTGAAATACACTTACAACACTTACATT